TCTCAGAGGCTTGCAGCAGCAGGCAGGGAACGTTGGTTTTCTCCGTCACTGAAGCAAGCAAGCCTCATGTTAGTTTCAAGCTGCCTGGCTGCCGGCATATCTCCCCGATTAGCCAATGGGAAGGGTAGCGGTCGTATGCCAATTACCATGTTTCTCTTTTATTAGATTAGATATTTATGGAGTATTTTGGGTTGAGATGACATATAGGAATTTCCATTATGTTGGAGGAAAAGAGTTACAGGTAGGAAATACAGTTTGAATGATATAAATCTTCCATAGCTTCACCATCACCCCTTCTACTTTTTAATTCAAGTAATAAGATTTATTTATTATTTGTCCTACAAGACAGTTGCCATAACAAGCAAAGAACTTCTCACACTGCAGTGAAATGTCAGAGTCTCTTTTATTAAGTGGTCAGAAAAGAAGTCTGTCCCAGGTAGAGTGTGTATTGCCTCTTTCTTAAGAACTTCTGTTTTTATCACTTAATGCTTTTTGACTTGAGAAAATCTTAGTCCAAATACTGAACAAGGGTAAATAAATTGTAATGCAATTTCTTACAGAAAAGATTCAGAAAAATACTATGGCCAAAAATAAATTGAAAAGAAAGTTTCCATTCTCTTTTGACTTTAGCCAACTTGATTTTTTCGGTGAAATGCCTCATTTCTATGCATTAATATTCTCACTATAGTAGAATAATTCAAGAGAAATCTACTTTGTGAATTCTAGAATTGGTTTTCCCTTTCCCCCCAGCATATATAGTTCTAGGACCCTTTCTTCTAAGGGTCATCTTTATTTGCTCAGAAAAGAAAAGTTTTTAATGTCTCAGTTTAATACAAGTCTCTGACTCATGGGTGTGCAGAGGTATGTATGTACAAGGATGGTCTTTTTAGCACTGTTTGCAGTAGTAAATAGTTGAGAACAACTCCAGCTTTAGCTGTATAATTTGAATTTTTAATATTGTAACTATGTTCATATTTATTTATATTAAATACCAAAAATATTTTTAATTTTTATTTATCTTAATCTCTTAAAAGTTTATTGATTTGAGAGAAAGAGACATCGATTTGTCATTCCATTTATTTATGCATTTGTTGGTTGATTCTTATATGTGCCCTGACTGGTGTTCAAACCCACAACCTTGGTGTATGGGATCAATGCTCTAACCTACTGAGCTACCTTGCCAGGGCCAAAAATATTATTTTAAAGGAAAGGTAAATCTGCCATTTACAGGCCCTTTTGTGGCCTGAATGTACACATATGCCTTTGGGGTTTTGGTGAGTGTGTGGCTTTTTAATGTTACTCTTCCCTCCATTAGCAAAAGGAGTGCAAAACTCTTTGCCAAATGGCTCTGTTGATAGTTGATAGCACCAAGCGTGCCTTTGAAAGGACTCATCATAAGCTACCTTTTGTCTTTTTCTTCTGTTGCTTTCTCTCATAGAGATAACTGATTGTTGGAAAAGGGGAAAAAGCCATAGGAATTAATAACCTCTTATGCTGCCAATTTGAGTCTTAAGTGTTAGTTACTTGAGGACAATTTTAGATTTATGTAGACATTAACCTCTTGATTATTTGTGGCAGTGTAAGGCCATCTAGTGGTACCTTCTATCTAAAGACTGGGGAGTTTGCTATAGATTTGTGGGTGTTCTTGGTTGCATCTCATACAGCCTCTTTGGTTCCATTATACTGCTTTGTTGACTCTTGTAATGCCTGTCTTTTTAAGGTGTTCATCTGTACTATGTTGGTGGAGAGGTGTATGCAGAGTGTCTCAGCGATAGCAGCATATTTGTACAGAGTAGGAACTGCAACTTTCATCACGGCTTTCATCCTACCACTGTCTGTAAGATTCCCAGCAGCTGCAGCCTCAAAATTTTTAACAATCAAGAATTTGCACAGCTTCTGGCTCAGTCTGTCAATCATGGGTTTGAAGCAGTATATGAGCTCACCAAAATGTGTACAATTCGAATGAGTTTTGTCAAGGTAACTGGGTTGTGACCTGTAATTTAATTTGAGTCATTGCGAATATGTATATTATATGTCTGTAGAATATAATTTTTAAAAAGTTATTATTAAATGAAAGGTGGTAATTTTGACCTGATTTAATAGGGTTTTAAATGAAATTCTTAAATCTATAACTTTGACCACATGATAGGTCTATGATTTTATTTTATAAACCAAACATTATAAAATGCATGATACTGATTTTGATGATGAATAGGGGCTGAGTTTATAAAGAATTTAAGTTAAAGGCTAAATTGCTAGAGAGCATTTTAAAATACATATGTATTTTTATTGGTTTTAGAGAGAGGGAGAGGGAGAGAGATAGAAACATCAATGATGAGAGAGAATCATTGATGAGCTGCCTCTTTCATGCTCCACATTGGAGATCCAACCCACAAGCTGGGCTCTGACTGGGAATTGACCAGGACTTTTTTGTAGGTCCATGCTCAGCCACTGAGCCACCTTGGCCGGGCGAGAACATTTAATATTAACATTTCTTTTAAAGTTCCCTAGTTTTAGCAATTTAAATTATTATTAGCTCCCATTAGAGTAACTTAAAGGATTCTTTGGGATATTAAAATTATTTTCCTTGTACCTAAGTTCTGTTATTGAGAATTTGTAAAGTTTAAAGAAGTTTTCAAATTTATCATTTACTCTTGACCAGATTTTATTGGCATTCCAAAGATGATGATGGTTCATGAACAAAATTTGGAAATAATTTTAGTGATATATTTAAGCAACCTGTATTTGGTCCTTATGGATTTAGCCCAAGAGCAACTGTCAAATGCTGTGTGTGGGTGTTTTCTTTTTGGCATTCAGTCCCACAGTCCAGTGCTTCCTTGCTGCTTCGTTATAGGTCTGTCATAAGCATCAGTTTATCAGTAGCCTTGAAGGTCCTCATTCCCTCCCTACTGTAGAAACCTGACTTTTGCATATTTAATTTTGTCTTCCCATTCCTGTTCTGTTCCTCTGCACCACCACTCTGCGCCCCCTATCCTGTGCCCTCTCCCCTGTGTGCCTCCCCCACTCCCCCCTCCACCACCACCACTGGCTCCCCACTTTACTTTTCCTGGGCCAGGACTACTGTAAGTGGTAAAGCAGAGAGTTTGATAAATCAGGGCAAGTAAAAGTGAGAAAATTTTAATCGTTGTCTGGAGTTTTAGAATAAAGTGTTCTAGCTCAGTTCATCCCAGCAATTTCCCATTTTAAAGGATAATTGATATGTGATTGCCACTTAAATTATACTTACATGCCTTGATCAGATCTACAATGCCTTATTTGATTAAAAAATAAAAACCTGCTAAAACCGGGAAGCAAAAAATTTTGGTGACAAAATCCGATGTGAACTTATATGAGGCTATTTATATGTTTTATTTATCCCTTTAAATTAAGATGTATCTCACTGAAGAAATATTAAGTTTTAAATTGAGATATTGCACTTTAGAAAGCATTAACTTTATAAAATTAAATAAAGAGATCTGAAATTATTTGTTCCAAGGGTTTCTATTAATGGAATTATGTTATTAAAAATGCATATATCTTTCAATAATGCAGCTATTGTGTTGATTTTAACTCCATGGTGAATGCTGATTGGTTTTGTAATTTTTTTTTTAAAGTATATTCTGCATATGTCTACTGTTAAAGTATCTTTTTGTTAGTGCCCTAAAATTGGTTTCAACTGGTTCATTTCCACAGGGTTGGGGAGCAGAATATCACCGGCAAGATGTTACCAGCACCCCATGTTGGATTGAGATTCATCTTCATGGGCCTCTCCAGTGGCTGGATAAAGTCCTCACTCAGATGGGCTCCCCTCTGAACCCCATATCTTCTGTTTCATAGTGCAGAGTATTCTCTTCAATTATGTTATTAGTGGACTTGTTTTAATTTTAGAGAAACTTTCAGTACAGATACTGTGAGCTTACATGGAAAACAGCTTTTTTTTTTTTACATAATTGTGACCAATACATTTGTATTTTGTGATGAATCTACATTTGTTTGTATTAATGTTCACGTGATTAACTTTCAAAACTGTTGTGAAAGATGCAGAAAAATTATTATGCCCCAGTTCAAAAGTTTGGCATTAATCTTAAACTGGAACATACTTTTGCCTTATTGTCTCAACAAATTTTTTTGTTAAAATATTTTTGAAAAAGTAAAAAACAACACATAATGAAAAATTATAATCGTATAATAAGAGGATATACAGTGAAAAGTCTTCCCTTTGATTCTTGATCCTTAAGAAGCTGTACTTTTACCAGTTTCTGTGTCCCACCAACTTTTAAAAAGTCTAATTCATTGTTCTATAAAAGCATATGATAGGGACTTAAGAGAAACTATAAAAAAGAATCTTGTATTTGAAGGAACACTATGCACTGCTGTAACAAGCAGTGTCCAGTAAGAGCAAAGTGATAGTTTTCTAGATGACATCATAACATTTACACTTAATACAGCTAACTGTTTGTCAGTGTATTGTGACTTCACTCAGTATATCTTTTGTAAAACATTTCCTTTTTAAAAAAATTATTGCCAACAACAGGTGTCCAGTATGTGTCATTTACTCAGAACCTGCCATAAGTACTACTTTATAGCTAGCGGCAGCGCATGCACGGCCTTGGTCAGCTATGTTGCTGCTTTCGGCCAGTGTTGCAAGGACTCTAATTTTGACATGCATTAATCTTTTATTTTGCACTTTGATGGGTGACAGTTTTTAGTGTAATCTTTTGTGAAACACACTCAAGTGACTTGGACTTACATGCTCATCCTTACTTCCTTGGTACCCCTTTTGTATTAACAAACACTGCAATTTATAGATTACAGTTGTAGGAAGTTATACTTTTTTTTTTTTTTTTAGCTTTTGTTGTATTTTCAGCCTAGATTATAATACTGTTGTTCTGTAGCCCCAGCTTAAGGTGCCTTTTTAATTCCAGTTTTATGGATGTTTTTAGTGTTGAAAAGTCATGTACTTATTAATCCCATTGCTCTTATTACATCTGTCTCCCCATGCAGGGACCTGCATGCTGTAGCCATAGAAGCCTCTTCAGTCTAGCCTTGAGGTTGGGGGCACTGGTGATAACTAAATGAATCAGCAGTGGTGGTTGAGATAGCTGATTTAAAAACTTCATGTGTCAAAGAACACAGACTGTTCTGTCAGTTACCATGCATGCTCTTTTTACATTTTTTTTTTTAGTACCTATGTGAATGCTAATCACCAAGAACACAATTCTCAGAAAGGGAAGACATGAAAACCCTAAAATACCCATTTAATCAGTCATGCTCAAAGGGTTTGAATAAAAGACTCTACCCATTTTTCTATGGAGCAGTCAGATGGACACTTAGTTCTGGCATGAGAACAAAGACATTATTTTGAAAAATGTGACCTAATTTACCTATCAGAAAAAGCTTATTTTCTGGTGTCTTGTAGTACTATATGGAGCTATGTCAGTTTTGTGTTTAAAATGTTCATTTGGTTTGACTTTCTACTTGACCCTTTCTGCTTTTGTGAGGAAGTAAATACGTTTTTTGAGGAAAGGAGAATGTGATTCTTTTTGTTCTCTGTGACATTATTTATTGCTTTTACAAAGTGCAACCAATGGATGGTTTTAGTTCTTTCAGATGACGTGCCTTCCATGTGCTTCAGCTCACAGCCCTTGGCTGGGTTGGAGGATACTTTCTGACAGTCCCCTGAGCCTTAAACATACGTTTTCCATGACATACATTATCAGTCTTCTGTAATTGTGTCAGCCATCTGAAAGAGGATACTATTTGCTTAGTGATAGAACAATTTTTATTTTCCTTTTTTTTTTTTGCTTACCAGGCTTATGATACAACTTGTGGAACAAATTTGTAGGAAAAAACACCAGGTTGAATGATAGAAACATGTAATCAACCTCAGTGGGCTTGAACTGAAGGAAACTATGGAATTGTTTTATTGAGACTTTCCATTGAGTTAACTAAAAATAGTTTTTATTCATGTCACAGCTTTTAGAGTTAGCAGGATTTTATGTGATTGGCCTTTTCTGTGGTTTTTCTAAGGAACTGTGTCTCATAAATGACAGTCCTGAAACTATTAACTGTTAAGAGTTTCATGGAGAAGTAGAAGTCTGTTGTATTTACTAAAAGTTGTCAATTCCACACCCGTGGATTTTAAATGAAAACTTAATCTGGCTGCTTCTATGATTCCCAAAGATGCCCAATATCCATGGATGGGAAATAAAAGTTGCCAGTAAGATTTTTGAAAACTAAATGAAATTCTGACTAATGAAAAGAAAGTACCTCTGAAAGACCCTATTTCATAAAATTATAGTTTTACGTTTTTATTTAATTTCCAGAATGGTTTATAAAACATTGCCACATTATAATAATCACATTTGATAGCATATACAACATATTAATATATGCCAGCTGAAAAGACAGTCTGGGAATAATAAAATTACAACCAATTTGGTAAATGCAAAAAGAAGACTAGAATCAAAATTGATTTCAGTAATGAATTAAAGCAACAGAAGATGCTGATTGGCGGAGGAGAAAACAGAATTTAAGAGATGCATTTGACTAACATCGCTACATAATGGATATTATGGTCTGGTGGGTATTGCCTGACTTAAATTACGAAATGAAAACTTATAAGCATGTTATTGGCCTATTAAAGCTAACATATTTTCTTTAGAGAAAATTCAAAGGAGACATCAACCAAAATGTCAAATACATACATCAGAACATAAATAATTTTTCACATTTTATTGTTATGTAAGAAACTGTGATAATAGAATTGGCTGGGTTTCTGAGGTCAAATCCAGTGTAAAATTACTAGATAGTTCAAGAAGCTACATCTAATAGTACAGAAAGAGGATGTAGCCATGTACTTTTCATACATTTGAGAGTAATACATCCTTTAGGATGTAAAATGATCAAGTATTCAGATCTGAAATGTATTATCAAGACAAGAATTGGGGCTCACATTAAAGAACGTTCTGTATTTGAAGGGACCTGCTGGAAATGATCCTCCTGTAATAGTGTTCTGCTGAAGGAGAAAGTTTTTACAAAAAATCAAATCCTACCAATAGCAGAGGGACTCTAAGGTTTTATAGTACATTTCATTTCTGTGCTTCTGTTATAGAGAGCATCTAATATACCAGTTCAGATCCATTTTTTCATACTTTTTCTAGTTATTTGCTTAATATTACTTTGGATTATTATCGCTTTCCCACTTAAAATATATTAGTACCTTTTATACTTTCGAAAAAGGAAGAACCTTTAGGCAATTATTGAATTCAACTTCCAATGATGACTTAAATTTTGGACCTGTTGACTTTTAATAACGTGAGAGCTCTTCTTTGTCTTCTTATTTAAAGCCTCACTTAGTCTCTCGTAGGAATATAAACGTTTCCTCCTCATACTCATCAGCTAGATAAACACAGACCTTTTAAGGTAGTAGGTAGCCTGGTGGTTTTAGAAGTGTTGGTGATTTTTATGGGAGCAAGTTTTCGTAAGTATTGGTTTATGGATGGTCTCCTCATTTATTAACTAGGGTAGCTTTTCGAGGGGGGTAATCTCAGGTTTGATACCTGTTTTCCCCTGAACAGCATTTTCCTCATGGAAGCAGGTGGGATTCTGGGGAGGTTTTCTTCTCAGAGAAGATCCATGTATGGAAGGTGAGAATTCAAGGCATCACTTCTGCAGCAACAATTTTACTTGCTGCACAGAAACTTGGACAGTTCTCTGGAATCCACTGGATTGCAGTTCAGGTTCAGCGTGCCCTGACTACAAGAGGTAACAGTGTTTATCAAGCCGTTGTTATACTGGATTATTAATAATAGAAACTTATCTTCTAACATACAACTATCTTATAATTGAAGTATTACCCAAAAATTGGATGGTTAAAAACCAATGAGAGATTTTACATAAATACATATTTTTAAAGTAAGAGCTTATGCTATAATATTTGCTGGTAGCAACTGCTGTAAAACCAGTGATGAGTTGTTTTGTTGAAAAGATCTAGTCAGAGCAGGATTTTCCTGTCATTCATGGCAGAGTGAAAAAGGTTTGCATGGTTCTTATCTAAATCTGTTCTTAACATTCTTAAAATCATCATTCTATTGTCCTGTAAGGTTTTATTTGAAGATGCTGTTTTTAAAAAGTTCAGAATTTTGTGTAAGATAGGTTTTTATCCCCATTATTAGGTACCAGTTGGTGTTAGCTATAACCAAGTTCCAGTGAGGTCAGACAAGCCTAGGTTCTTTATAAAAGAAAAATCTTTTAGATTTGGATTTCCCATTGCAGATGTTGCTCTCATTCATAAAGTCTTTTAACTGTAGGGACTCTTGAAGGTAATAGAAGTGGGTTTTTTTTTTTAACCTGATTGGTTAAGTTACATTTTGAAAATTACTTATTTTAAAATTGGATAAGATTATAATGAAAACTGGATGTTTATATGTACCTGTCCATGTTCTCTCAAATAGATATTTCTATATGCAGATAATAAAGACCAAACCAATGGCTGCACTATAGGTCTGCTTCTTATTTGTACTTGCTCTGCTTCTGTTTATGTTGTAGAAAGTGAAATTCTAGCAACATGCTTCCATTCTGTTATCTTTTTTATACTTATAAAAATGTATTAGGTTTTACTATATTATGCTTTTCAAAGCCATAACTCGTAAGAACTTCATTTTTGCATATTGTTTGCTAATACTTTATTTTAATAAACCTCAAAACCTGCTTAATGTGTGTGTGTGTGTGTTTCTCTGTTTTTGTGTGTGTGCTCTGTTTTGACTTAACTTGCTTCTTTGGAGTTATAAAAAAGAGAGAGTATTAGTTGCTGTGACGAGCTGTTTTGTGCACTAATGATAGAAAATGGAAATATCATGTCTTGCCACTCCGCATGAGGTTTTGCTCAGAATGATTAATATTTTCCCATTCTGTTTCTAAGAGTGTTGATGTGTTATTCTTTGCTAGTTTTGTTCTGTCTTGAAAAAGGATTTGGATCTAAAGTCTGGGTTTTTTTAGTTTAACCACAAATTTCCCTTCTTTAGATCCATCTATAAGTGGAAGGTCTTGACCCATGATCCAGAGATAGAATAGCTCGTAGCAGAGCTGGCTCTGGAGGCTGCCTGCCTACATAAGAGTCCTGGCCCTCGGAGCTTTCTTAGCTCTGTACCCTTAGCTTGTGCTTAACCGTTCTGTGCCTCAGTTTCCTGATCTGCAAAGTAAAAGTCTACCTACTTCATAGGATTTGGGGAAGATTAAATAGAATGATACAAATAAAGTACTAAGAACAGTGCCTGGCATATAAGAACTCATATTTTTATTATCTCTTACATCTCTTCTTTGATTTAGAGGAATTGTTTCTGATGTTGCTTGACTTTGGTAGATCAACCCTTGATTATCCGCTTTGTGAATTAGCTTTGCTTTTCTTTATTTTTTCCATCTTAAAAAATTTTAAATCACAGATTAGTTTTATCCCCATCAAGTGCACGCCTTTCCACGTCTGTTGCATATACTAAAAATGTAAACATCCTGCTTAGGAAGGGATGGTGAAAGTTCATGTGTGCCCATAGAAAAGTAGAAAAACCCAAACTAAATATTTTAACACCAAATAGTAAACATAACAGCTCTTACTATTCTCTTTAGAGAAAAAAAATTACATCAAAGTAATCCAATTATTCAAATCAGTTCCTTCTTATGCCTTTTTATTTCAAGTATAAGGCATTTATTTTATTTTTTTAAAAATTATATTTTAATGATTTTTTACAGAGAGAAAGGGAGAGAGATAGAGAGTTAGAAACATCGATGAGAGAGAAACATCGACCAGCTGCCTCCTGCACATCTCCCACTGGGGATGTGCCCGCAACCCAGGGTACATGCCCTTGACAGGAATGGAACCTGGGACCTTTCAGTCCACAGGCCGACGCTCTATCCACTGAGCCAAACCGGTTTCGGCTATAAGGCATTTATTTAGTAAAGTATTTAGTAGTGACTTCACTTGCTGTTTTAGAAGGATATTTAAAAAAAAACCCACACATTTGTTCTGGCAAAAGGTTTTAGTGAACAATGAGAGGTGTTAGACTTCTCTCAGATTTAAGGTAATTAGTTTTCAAATTGCTTTATCCAAAGAGTTCGGTGATGAGGGGATCAATTGCTCCAGTTTTAGACCTGAGACTTGATGGCCAAAGCTTTTCCATATTACAGCAGTTTTGATGCAGTTTATTTGTATAAGTATTTACAAGTATCAGCAGGCTAGCAAACTTATAAGAAAGTACTTTTAAGAGTTCTGTAGTATACATGATTCAAAGAATATTTAAATATTACTGTGGTTTTGGTTGTTGCTGAATTTGTAAGCCTATTTTTAATAAACTGACTTGTGTGAGGGAGAATCGGTATTTTTATCTAAATCACTTTTCGTGGTTGTATTTTAGAGGCAAGGGGACCGAGGCTAGAGGGAAAACATAAAAAGCAGTTGTTGGCAGCTTGCTTCACCATTTCCATCTTAGAGCATGTTGGGCGGGAGGTGGAGGGCATTGGATTGGTGGTGCACATTCTTCCATTACCCATATTCTGTCAAGTGGATATATACACACTTCCTGAGAGGCATTTCCTGAGGCAGTCTTGAAGTTGGGGATGAATTTGAAAGCTTCCTTCTAGCATGCCTTACTCTCCTACCTATCTCCCACCCAATAAAAACCTCACCTGTTACTTCATTTAAAATACTTTTACATGAGATAAATGTGGAGAATTTTAACAGTACGGAAAACCACAAACTAGCTAACCACTACACTTTTATGTGTGTACCCTTCTAACCTGTTCTGGTAATCACCCTACATTGGCCCTTTCCTTTCTTTGACAAAAGCTTAGCAATTATGGGTGGAGATATAGCTCCTGTTTTGAAAGGGTTCTCAGAGAAATTTGTTTGGGTCTAAAGTGTTTCTTGAATTCCATATCAGAGAGCATTTGCTATCTTCGCTATTTCTTATTTTGTTCAATTGCAGACCTTTTCAAAATGTATAACATCAAACCTATCTATCCAGATCTTTTACTGAGATGACTGAAGTGACAAAAAAAAAAAAAAAAGCCAATTGGGATTAATCTAGGAAGGCATTCAGAAAGGGAATAAAAGATCCTGGGCATTAAGAAGAAAAGGAAAGTTTTTCATTCCTCATAACATGTACCACCATCTAACATGTTACATATATAATATTTCTTTACTCTTTTTATAGATTGTCATATCTCATGGGAATTTCAGCTCTATGAGACCAGACCTATGTTCCCACTGCCAGAACAGTTCTTCATATTTTGTAAGCACTCCAATATTTGTTGGATGAATGAGAGTACTAGGACTCACCTTTTAAATTGTCTAATGAGAATTCTTAGTTGAATGGATTCTAGCTCAGCACTTTATTAGATCTCTATTTCATGCCTCAAAAGAGAAGAAAGGAGAAACTAGAACACTCATATTCTCTGAACTTTTGGATCTTTGTTCCAAAGTTATCAGGTTCCTGGAATTATTGGTTAGAGAACCTAACAAAGTAACAGTTAATATTTTCCTAGAGAAAGGATTTACTTTCTTTGATGTATTTGATGAGAAAATAACCAAAAAAGTGTAGTTTTTATTTTATAACTTAAGGGATGGCAGTGTTAAGAGCCCAGTAGTTTGATTCTAGCGCCCTGGTTTAGATCCCATAAAGACAACATAATGACCTATATTTGTACTACAGGGTAAAAGATTAATTTTGCTGAAGACTACGTGTGATTGTAGTGGGGAGGGAAGCACAGGAGGATTTGGGCTATACCACCATTAGTTAAGATTAATTAATAATAAACATTCCTTGGTTGCCTTTCTTGACATAAAATTCTGTGAATTTTACAGAATGTGTTTATACAGCAGTGAAGGTGATGATGGTTGTAAGCACAAAGTAGTTAGTATTAGCAGTAAGACTACAAAGATAAGCATCTGAAAAGAATGGTGCTTTCTTTTTATTGTCTGTTTAATGAGTTACTGGAAGTTTACCAACACCCATTCTCCCCTTTGTTAATTACAGAACACCTCTGTCCAGCTGCCTACCACATTTCCACATTTCCCAGCCTCTCTTTTAGCTGGATGTGGCCTTGTAACTAATTTCTGACCAATAGGATTTGAGCAGAAGTGTAGCACAATTTTGGCATAAGGCACCAAAGAGTAATGTTCTTGTTCCTTTCCCCTTCCCAATGGCCAGAATGCAGGTATGATGGCAGGAACTAGAATAACCACCTTGAAGTGGGCCTAAAAGCCAGGGGATAGGGTGATAGCTGTGCTACTCCTGGAAGGTTATATGTGCACAAGAAACTTGGAGATGGGGAGTGTTCTTTGTTACAACAGTTTAGAATGTAACTTAATTAATACTTACTTGCTCATTCACTTACCCTCTCCAAACACTTGTAGTGTTCTCTGCAAGTCAGGCTTTACGCTGGGCAGCAGGGAGTCACCTCCTGTCCTCATGGAAAGTGAAACCAACAGTTTAGTGTGTTCAATCCCCATCTAGTTAGGGCTCTCCAGTTTTGGAGGGTGGAGAAAAAGCAGAATAGAGAAGGAAACTGAAAATAGACTCTGCTTCTGTTTTTCTGACTATCTTTTCTGGTCCTGAGCAGTATTTGGTTGGTTGCTTATTCATTCAACTAATATTTGAGGGCCTATAAGATGTCAGGCTGAGGATAAAAGGAATAAAACAAATTCTTTCCCTCAAGGAGCTTCATTCTGGTTACAGAGACAGAAAACAAGCTAAGTGAAATATAGCACAGGTAGTGGTAAGTTCTAAGGCGGAAAAGCAGGAAAGGGAGATTCGAAATATTCAGGGGGTTGGGGAGGGAGGCAGATGAAGTTTTAGATCAAAAAGCCAGGGGACTTGCTGAGAAGGAAATCTTTGATCTAAATCCAAGAAGAGGTGAGGAAGTTGGTATGTGAAGTAGTCATTTAGCTGATTCTTTGTCAAGGCAATTCAGAAGGCGTATGAATGGTACAGTAAAGATCTCGGGATCCCTGCAGGAAAAGGGGTAATTCAAGCGGAAACAGCTAAAGTAACAAACATTTAAATTGTATGTTCTTTTAGTCTCTGTGGGAGATACAATAATAATGGAGTGTTACATAGACGGAGACAAGAAATATCAGTTGCTAACAACTTTTCGGATTACCACCTCCAGGAAACTGGCCACTGGGGACTACGAATCAATAAGAAAAGTTCAACTCAATATTTCATCTTATACAAGTTTAAGGCAGAAAATAAAGGGGAAGAGTTCAGAGGAAGAACCCATGGACAAATTTATCTTAACCTCTAGCTCTGTTTTTCTACTATGTTTCATTCAACAAATACTTCATTGCCTATTTTGTGTTTATCACGACGACAGGCATTGGGAAAGCAGTAGTGAACACGATGGATGCTGTCCCAGACCTCAGCTTCCGTGTGAGTAGGGAGAGAGACATTAATTAGGCTATGACGTGTATAGCTATTTAATAGTTGTGATAAGGGAGCTGATTGGGGGCTATAAATGAATAAAACTGATCTGCACTCAGGCAAGTCCTTTTAAAAAAAAATATATTTTAATTTCAGAGGAGAAAGGAAAGGGATAGAGAGAAACATCAATGGTGAGAGAGAATCATTGATAGGCTGCCTCCTGCAAGCCCCAATGGGGATTGAGCCCACAACCCGGGCATGTGCCCTGACCGGGGATCAAACCCATGACCTCTTGGTCGACA